CATCCAAAACTATACAATAAAATCAATCATTAGAAGAGATAATGGCTTAAGATTTCAAATGAAATATAAATGGAGTTTCAGACAAATGCCTCGATTGGTCTGCATTTAAGTGAATCCAACCATTAAATGGTTTTCATCGATAAGACTCGTCATCTGATCATCATTTGAATCCATATTAAGACAACTCTTAAGACAAAGGGATAGTCACTCACCTAAAGATAGCTCAAAGACTCAAAGCACGTGTCCGGAAGACAACGTGGTTTGAGTGCCGTTCCCAACAAAATGGCCGCCATTTTGGTCACCCGTTTTGCTCTGCAATTTTGAGAGCAATATTTTAATCATACTTTTCAATAAAACTAATCAATCAATTAGTTAAGCAAATTGTGGATCAATCAAGTGATCTATTATTCAGACAAATGCCTCGATTGGTCTGCAGTAACGCGAATCCGGCCACCGATTGCCCCCAAAAGGGAGAACCGATGTCTTCATCGACATAAGACTCGTCATCTGCTCATCAGGTGTAAGCGATCACTCAATTGATCCGCAAAATTAACATCAAATTAATGGACAATTCATTTCAAACAAGACGTGAAAAAGTAAATTACAAACCATTAGCTTTGAGGGCAACAAAAGTGCATTACATTAATGCATAAAATGCTATTTAAAGGCATTGTTAGCGTTAATAGCGTTTAGTTAATACTAAACACAAAGTAATTTACAATTGAATTAAATTGTAAATTGAGTTAAACTGAGAGCACATGTGAGCACTCGATCGCCAGATATCGGATGTGAAGTGAATGCATGGAAACCCCGGTCCAGCTATTTATACCCTCATATCAAACCACGTGATACCACACCCTCTCATAAATAGCGTTACTAACACTTTGTATGAATGACTTCCCCATAGGCTTGAATAGTGTGTCTGTTTTGGTCACAACCCCTGCCTTAGAAGTGACGGATTATAAGATTGACTCATAAGTGGTAAACACAACTGTATTGAACACGTGATGTGTTGTGGTGTCGATCGCTGCACACCTGTCGTCGGGTCCGCTAAACACTTGTGGAGTATTCAATGTTGAGGTCGGTATCAATTACTTGAAGCACTTCTTGCACTCGTATCGGTTCCCGTACTGATGACCAGCTTTTCTCGTTACTCAATAGGCAAACAAATGGTGTGAATGTTATGATTAAATGGTTGGCCACTAATGGGAGGCCAACACTAATGGCCAGTATTACGGCCGCTGACTGTCGCGGACTTTGCGGTAAATGTACGGCCAGTGATGAGACCGTAGACCGCGTCAGTCCTGTCGGTCATTCGGTGTCCAATTTGCGGTTCACTGATTGGGCCAAACCGGTCAATGAGACGCCCGTTGAACGCCAGTTACGGCTCAAACGAGTAGAGCTCCAGAACTGGAACCACGAGTATTGGCTCAACAATAACACAGATTTTCAACGGGTATTCATTAATGTTGTGCTAATTATAAGCAATTGTTTGAACGCATTGTCTATTTTTGCAGCAAAAGCAAGATTTTATAAAACGGGAACTCAAGACAAGTGATGGACAAGAGTTTAAGTCATCGTTAAGTTATGATGAATTGTCGCTGTTTTATAAGTCGTTTTTGGATTCAAATCATGGAAAACACATGAATTATAATTTGTAATTTGCTTTAAGACATTGTAATTGTTTAATTGGATTAAGTTTTGTTGATTCAAATATTGCAGGGAATGGTATAAACGCCACACAACCCTCTTATGGCCAGCCTTTCGGGTATTTCTTATACGACTTCAACGCAAATTGTTTTCAAAATAGTGAACAAATACTTGCACTTTAATTAGTAATTAATTAATTATCAAACTATAGTCATGTTTTGTGCAATAATACTGTACAGTATAAGCAAATGAACAAAATAAAACACAAACGAGTTGTAAAAATATGAGAACAATTTATTGATTTTTAAAAAAATAATAATTAAACAAAAACCAAACAAAAGCTAATTTCAATTTAAATAACACTTGTAATGAAAAGTGAGACAAATGTGCGTCAAATGAAAGATAGGCAAAGAGTTTACATTCTTAATAATTTTGCGCAAAAATAAATAAAATTGAGTTTTATATCTAAAAATTGATCAAAAATTAAATTCATAAAAATGTTTCAAACAATTTAAATGATAGTTTGGGTTAATAACAAGCATTTGTTTTCTATTATACTAACAAATAAACAATTGGTTTTAGAAATTATAGCGTTAATCAAATTATAATAAATTAATTGTTTAGAAATTGTCTGCAAAAAACAATGTACAGTATGTGTGGATTGTGACCACAATCAAAGTTCCCCTCATATAGTAATTAATAGCCATTTGGTTATCAGAATATTATCGTATGATTTGTTTTACTAATAAATTTCACTGTAATTGGATTTGATTACAATTATTGTCGATTCAGTTATTTATAAATACAATAAAATATAATTAGTTGTAATGATTAAAAAATTCGATTATAATAATTATAATTATTATATAATGAGTTAAATTCATATCGATTTTGTTTGCACTCCAATTCATTATCTATACTAAAACTTCTTGTATTTTAAATGGGTTTTAATATTATATGTATATTTTTTTGGTTTCAATTCAATTCATTTAATAGTTTACTAAAAAAATTAATGACATTCTGTTAACAGTATTGAGGATTCGTTGGAACTAATGAAACAGATAATGAGAAAAAATAAAAAACAAAATAATGAAAAAAAANTGCTATTTAAAGGCATTGTTAGCGTTAATAGAGTTTAGTTAATACTAAACACAAAGTAATTTACAATTGAATTAAATTGTAAATTGAGTTAAACTGAGAGCACATGTGAGCACTCGATCGCCAGATATCGGATGTGAAGTGAATGCATGGAAACCCCGGTCCAGCTATTTATACCCTAACATCAAACCACGTGATACCACACCCTCTCATATATAGCGTTACCAACACTTTGTATTCATGACTCCCCCATAGGCTTGAATAGTGTGTCTGTTTTTGTCACAACCCCTGCCTTAGAAGTGACGGATTATAAGATTGACTCATAAGTGGTAAACACAACTGTATTGAACACGTGATGTGTTGTGGTGTCGATCGCTGCACACCTGTCGTCGGGTCCGCACAACACTTGTGGAGTATTCAATGTTGAGGTCGGTATCAATTACTTTAACCACTTCTCGCATGAGTATCGGTTCGCGTACTGATGGCCAGCTTTTGTCGTTATTCAATAGGCAAACAAATGGTGTGAATGTTATGATTAAATGGTTGGCCACTAATGGGAGGCCAACACTGATGGCCAGTATTACGGCCGCTGACTGTCGCGGACTTTGCGGTAAATGTACGGCCAGTGATGAGACCGTAGACCGCGTCAGTCCTGTCGGTCATTCGGTGTCGAATTTGCGGTTCACTGATTGGGCCAAACCGGTCAATGAGACGCCCGTTGAGCGCCAGTTACGGCTCAAACGAGTAGAGCTTCAGAACTGGAACCACGAGTATTGGCTCAAAAATAACACAGAATTTCAACGGGTATTGAGTAATGTTGTGCTAATTATAAGCAATTGTTTGAACGCATTGTCTGTTTTCGCAGCAAAAGCAAGATTTTATAAAACGGGAACTCAAGACAAGTGATGGACAAGAGTTTAAGTCATCGTTAAGTTATGATGAGTTGTCGCTGTTTTATAAGTCGTTTTTGGATTCAAATCATCGAAAACACATGAACTATAATTTGTAATTTACTTTAAGACATTGTAATTGTTTAATTGGATTGAGTTTTGATGATTCAAATATTGCAGGGAATGGTATAAACGCCACACAACCCTCTTATGGCCAGCCTTTCGGGTATTTCTTATACGACTTCAACGCAAATTGTTTTCAAAATAGTGAACAAATACTTGCATTTTAATTAGTAATTAATTAATTATAAAACTATAGTCATGTTTTGTGCAATAATACTGTACAGTATAAGCAAATAAACAAAATAAAACACAAACGAGTTGTAAAAATATGAGAACAATTTATTGATTTTTAAAAAAATAATAATTAAACAAAAACCAAACAAAAGCTAATTTCAATTTAAATAACACTTGTAATGAAAAGTGAGACAAATGTGCGTCAAATGAAAGATAGGCAAAGAGTTTACATTCTTAATAATTTTGCGCAAAAATAAATAAAATTGAGTTTTATATCTAAAAATTGATCAAAAATTAAATTCATAAAAATGTTTCAAACAATTTAAATGATAGTTTGGGTTAATAACAAGCATTTGTTTTCTATTATACTAACAAATAAACAATTGGTTTTAGAAATTATAGCGTTAATCAAATTATAATAAATTAATTGTTTAGAAATTGTCTGCAAAAAACAATGTACAGTATGTGTGGATTGTGACCACAATCAAAGTTCCCCTCATATAGTAATTAATAGCCATTTGGTTATCAGAATATTATCGTATGATTTGTTTTACTAATAAATTTCACTGTAATTGGATTTGATTACAATTATTGTCGATTCAGTTATTTATAAATACAATAAAATATAATTAGTTGTAATGATTAAAAAATTCGATTATAATAATTATAATTATTATATAATGAGTTAAATTCATATCGATTTTGTTTGCACTCCAATTCATTATCTATACTAAAACTTCTTGTATTTTAAATGGGTTTTAATATTATATGTATATTTTTTTGGTTTCAATTCAATTCATTTAATAGTTTACTAAAAAAATTAATGACATTCTGTTAACAGTATTGAGGATTCGTTGGAACTAATGAAACAGATAATGAGAAAAAATAAAAAACAAAATAATGAAAAAAAAACATTAAAAGTAATTAAATTAATTATAAATTATAATTTAAATTCGATTTTGTTTTTTATAAAATGTCATATTTTTTATATATCAATTAAAACACAAATTCAAACGATTTGTTTCAAAGTTTTTAATTTGTTTTACTATTGCTTTTAGATATTTGTTTTGTTGTATTCTTTGCGGAGAAATAGAGATAATAAGAGTAACTGAAAGAAAAATTGGATTTGATTACAATTATTGTCGATTCAGTTATTTATAAATACAATAAAATATAATTAGTTGTAATGATTAAAAAATTCGATTATAATAATTATAATTATTATATAATGAGTTAAATTCATATGGATTTTGTTTTCACTCCAATTCATTATCTATACTAAAACTTCTTGTATTTTAAATGGGTTTTAATATTATATGTATATATTTTTGGTTTCAATTCAATTCATTTAATAGTTTACTAAAAAAATTAATGACATTCTGTTAACAGTATTGAGGATTCGTTGGAACTAATGAAACATATAATGAGAAAAAATAAAAAACAAAAGAATGAAAAAAAACATTAAAAGTAATTAAATTAATTATAAATTATAATTTAAATTCGATTTTGTTTTTTATAAAATATCATATTTTTATGTATCAATTAAAACACAAATTCAAACGATTTGTTTCAAAGTTTTTAATTTGTTTTACTATTGCTTTTAGATATTTGTTTTGTTGTATTCTTTGCGGAGAAATAGAGATAATAAGAGTAACTGAAAGAA